TAACTCTGAACATCACGGGGCAGATGAAGAGACGTCACAGCTTTCCTAAGGGATCCTCCTCGGGAGGCCACAGTTTTGAAAAGGCCGGCAAAGGAAGCAAGGCGTTTATAGGAGGAGAGGGTGTTGCTAGAGAGGGGGCTGGAAAATGCGGTAGGAGCAGAGGGTAGGTTTTCAAGGGCAATAGTGCTTTCAGTAGGACGTTTGGAAGTGTTACTAAATTTGGTTCACCATTTCCTTTCCTTGCCTTCATTCATGTGTTTATTCATGCAGCAAGTTAACGGAGCCGCTACTGTGGGCTAAGGTTCTGGAAATTCAGAAATGAATAACAGAGTCCCTGCCCTTAGGGCTTGTGAGGAAGCTGGCAGATGAACAAGGGGTCCTGTTGCGTAACAAGGACCATTACAGTCTTCTACCCTAAATGTCTTGGGACCCTGGGAGTGCTAGCTTTCACATTAAGCAGGAGTTCCCAGCCTCTTGGTAGTGTTTGCATGAACTTCTCTTGTTAGAAAACTCAAGTTGGAAAGGGCTTTCCAGCCAGACAGACTTGGCTTTAAATCCTGGTTCTGTCATGGACGGTGGGATCTTGGGGAGATTTCGAACCGTGAATATCAGCGACCTTGTGTGTCGGTTCTCAATGGACTGCCCCTCGGCTCCCCGTGCGCCCTTCCTAACGTGCTTACTGAGAAGGGAAGTTCATTAACCATTTCTCTGTTCAGGGAAGCCCGGTGTGAAGCGTTCTCAGCAGAGGGCGCTGGAAGGACACTGCGGGAGGAAGACGATGCTTGGCATTTTTAGTATGGAGTGTGTGTGTGTGTGTGTGTGTGTGTGTGTGTGTGTGTGTGTGTGTTTTCACCCCACACAGCCGGGCCAAGCACGGGGCTCAGAACACGGCCCATCTGCTACCTTGTACCCCTGGCCTAGGGAGGATCTTCCTGCAGGCCCCTCTCCTCGGGAGCCAGAACTCTGCATGGCCCCCCTTTGCACCAACATCTGGCCTCCTGCAGCCCCAAATACACGGGGCTACCATTCCCTGTCTTTACTCCTGCCACATGTCACCCACCCACTGTGAAGGCCGCAGCACCTGCCCCTGCCAGGGCCTAGACCACCGCTGCCTGCCTCTGAGCTGAGTGCTGACTGCATGCCCCCTGCCCACATGTGAAAGGGTGGTCTGTGGCTCACCCAGCAGTTCCAGACCGACTCTGGCCTGGCTAACCCAGTGAAGTTCTCTGTCATCTGGCGGCCTGTTTCAGACCTTCTCCAGCGGGGTCTGAGTAACTTAAAAGCTGCCCTTCCTCGGTGCTTCCCCTCTCCTTAGAGCACGGTGGGGTCTCCCCTCCCCCTAGCTGACAGTTACTCTTCTATGCAACTAACAACTGTAGATTTCAACCTCCCTTCCTGGATGTACCGTGTGGTTGCCGTCTCCCGACTGGACCCAGGCTATTCACCTCATCTGTGAAGAAGACACGATAGCATCAGTCTTTCCAATTTACTTAACCACTGAAATGAGAAAACCTATGTAAAGTCCAGGGCTCACAACTCTGCTCACCAGTGTCTCTCAGTTTTCTCTTGGTCCTGGTCACTACTTTCTTTTCACAGACAACAAGGGAAGCGAATGTCAGCCAGAGCCAGGGATTCGACAGGATGGTGCCGACAAATGTGTGGTTAGCCCTGGAGGAAGAGACTGAGGGTCAGAGAGGCCCGAGAGGTTACTTGGGGTCAAATATACAATACTGTACTGAGCTGAACTCAGGTGCCCAGACGTCGGAGTCCACACTTCTCCCACTGCACTGGACATCCTCCTGGAACCCCAGACCCTCCCCATCTTTTCACCTGAGTGAGAACAGCTTTCTGGCCACCAGCGCCTCTTGAGTTTCAACACTTACTCTATAATGAGAACAGCGGAGTGGCAGGAGAATCACTTGCCGGGGTTCTTTCACAATGACCTCCCTGAGAGATCTCCTCCTAAAAGAAAGGCCTGACTCATTTGAAAGGTGTAAGTCTGTGGTTTCCCTCTTTCTCTGAGTCAGTCTCTGAATGAGACCCAAGGAGCCTGCCCTTGGAACTGTGTCTCAGCCTTGACGAGCATATACTGGGCTGGTAAAAGCTCCACTTTGAGAAAATCCCATTGTTTCAAATAACATTTATGGAATTTCACATCAGCAGTGGACTGTTTGTGTGGCTTGTTGCCTGGACATAATTTCCAAAAGGCCAGCAGTCTTTGTTATGCTCACTGATGCTTCCCTGATGCTTAGAATAGAACTTGGGACATAGTAGATGCTCAGTAAACGTTTGTCGAGTAGATGAATTTACACAGTCAAGGGTTTGCCATACTTCTTTACCTATGTGGGGCTTCACTAGGCTATTTTAAAATGGGACTTTATTTTCAAAGCAAGAGAGGGGAGGAGAGAATATACACTAACAGGAACATGACTGTTCTGGAAATCAAGGCAAGATACCGTGGTTATGCTGATGTATCTCAATGACCAAACTCTCCCTGATCAAAACTTATTTGTCCTGTGACTCACCCACTCCAGACACCAGTGTCTTCTCGGTGTCAGCCTGTAACTCTGGTTTTTTTTTGGGGGGGGGGGGTAATAAGCAATAATGGGTGGTTAAAATCCCAGTAAGCAACATAGGGCTTTTTTAGTGGGAGCCCTTTGGAAAAAAACTGTCCAGTGCCTGGCAGAGAGTTCTACACAAGGCAGCTACTCCATAAATGTCTGTTGGCACTGAGGATAATGTGATGATGACAGGATCTTAAAATAAAGGACTGACACCGGTAGCAAAAATTCAGGCCAGGGAAGAAGGCTCAGGAGAGGGTCATGGTGTTGTTAACTGGACAGTCTGCCTTCATTTCTCAAGTCATGACCAGGAAGCTACCCCAACTTTCTTTCTTCATATTTCAATATATTTGTACTACAGCTCATTATGAAAAAACTGAATGAAAAAGGCAAATGAAAAGAGCATAGAGGTTCAGGTATAGAGGTGAAACCGTACGCATCTTAAACTTCTTGACACTAAGAAGAAAAAAAAACACCCTTGCTTTGTGTTTCCCAGAAGTGATCTTCCTTGTTTTCTCTTTTCCATTTTAAGGTGATGGGGGATATAGAAAGAGAGTAAGTACATTTTTCTTTTTAGAAACACCAGGATGTGATTCAGTAGTGCCCTGGCTTCTGGTTAAAAGACTTTTTAAAAACAGAGTTTTCCCAAAGTCAGGAGCAGACGGGAAGTCCAAAGCCCTTCAGCTTGTAGAGGTTTCATGGGTGATGTTGGCTTGAGCTCCCTGATCGTGAGTGGTTCATTCATTTACTCCTTCTTTCAACAAGTGCTTCTGGTGCACCTGCTGGGTGCTAACCACATAGAATGGGAGCTCCTTCCGACGGGCAGATTGCCTGTGCTCTATCGCACTACTCCCTGATATGCTGGAGGCGGTCAAGAAATATTTGTTGAATCGACGATGGTCCCAGCCCTCATGGAGTGTATAGCACAGGAAATGATACTGAGTTTCTTCTTGTTCATGAGGCCCTTGTATGCCAATAAGATCAGAATTAAATGAACGTCAGGGTGGGTTGAAGGAGGAGATGAGAGGAGAATCACTGGTGACAGCAGGCAGCCTTGGGGGAGTGTGGGGGGCGGTGTGGCTCTGCTGGTCTCTCTCCCACTAGTAGTACGTAAAGGGATTGACTGCAGGGCAGGAAGACCCAGGATTCTCCCGTGTGGTTTCTGGGAGTGAGCCTCGGGACTTGGAGCCACACTGTGCCCAGAAACATTCCAGGTTGGCTTTGTTATGCCCTGGGAGACTCTGTCTCCTCTCCTCTATAAGCCCAGGTATCAGTTTCTGTACATTCGAAAGGGGTTGCTCTAAAGCAGGGGTCCTGGAGGCGAAGACGGAGGTACTTGCCAAAATTTAGCAGTAATTCCCTTTTTGTTGCCTGGGCATGATTTTGATGTGCGTTGAAATAATTGATGAAATTAAAGTTTTAAGAGATAAGAATGTAGTCTAAGATCTTGTTGCTTCCTTCAACAATAGCCGATATCATACAACAGTCAGAGTTTACTCCACACAAAGTGAGTTTCCTCCCTCCTTACCGCCCTCCCTCCCTTCCTCCCTCCCTCCCTCCCTCCCTTCCTTCCTTCCTTCCCTTCCTTCCTTCCTTCCCTTCCTTCCTCCATCCTTCTCTTCTTCCCCTTCCCTTCCTCCCCCTCCCTTCCCTTCCCCTGTTCTTCCTTCTCTCTCCCTCCTCACCTCCCTACCTCCCTCCTCCCTCCCTCCCTCTCTCCCTCCCTTCCTTCTTTCCTTCCTTCCTTCCTCCATCCGTTTCTCTCTCTGTCTCTCTTCCCCTGAATCTTCTACTTCTCATGGGCATGGTCTGCCTGCCACGGGACATCTGTTTTAAAGTGGAAGAGGCATTGTAGAATTCTATAAGCTTCCTGGGGCAGAAGTAATTGGAAGCGCTGGTGACCAGACATAACCCCATTACTTCATTAGAGGCAGGTTCAAAGGACAGGCCTTTCTCTGTTCTTTAGTAACATCATTAGCCAGCAGACTGTCCTATTTTGGGGACAAAGTTTATTAATTGCTACTTTACAAGCCTTGTATATTTCATTTGTTAAGGTCATGTGAAATGTATCTTTCTGGAGAGATACACACAAGCTCTGGTGGCTTAACTTGATCAAAATAGTTTACATTCAATTTATTTCTGTCTTTTCTCCTGAGAGACAAGAAAGCATCATCTGATGACTGTTGGAAGGCTTTTTGTTTAAAATGGGGAATTTGACCAAGGGTCCCCTGGAACATAGTTGCTTAAATGTGCATTTCTCCAGGAAGTCTCTAATAGCTAGAGAGGGTCTGGGGACCGGCGTTTCGATTTCAATCATTCCTGCTACTCCTCTTGTCCATTATTACAGTCATCGAGGATTAACATTCTTGGGCTCGCAGGAATGCCCAATTGTGGGCTCTCCTAGGAACAAGTCTATTAATATCACTTTCATCTTCCTAGGTGCAAATTCAGGAAACAGTCAGGGAGAGAGACTTTCTCAGCCAGCTGCCAGCTTTCTCAGATCCTGCTGGGGAGCAGTCTGCATTTGCTGGGACCACAACAAATTCCTTCCCCAATGCAGGAGGGATCGATGAGGAAGACAGATCATTGGCCCGATACTTGGAGCTAGGAAGCTGTACTCAATGTCCACAACACGGAGAAAAGCAGGACAGAAAAGACCATGTACTTGGAGGTTCCTGGACAGAACTAGGATATGAGCTGAGCATCCCAGATGCCCATAATGAAAATACATCCCCCTGGGAGCTGTCAGTGCTTCTTCCCCAAGAGGGCAGTGCTGACCCCTGGGAGCCCAAGGCTCTCTCTGTTGCTTCCCCTGAACCCGAAAAGCCCAGTCTCACCCTGGAAACTCCATGCAATGAGCCAGGGGGCAGGGAAGCAGCAAGCGTGTTGGAGTGTCTTGAAGCACGAGACCAAGGAACACGGGACACTATGGATTCTCCTGCTGGAGCCTCAGCTGATAGATATTTGCCTCCGGAAACTTGCTACACGGACTTAGAGCCGGCAGAGATTCAAAGCAAAGTATCTGATTCACGTTCTCGTGATAACGAGACGCCGGGCATCCTCTCCCACACGCAGCGTTCTGAGCTCCCACAGTGCCCGTGCAGGAGCAGCAAGGGGGGAGACTCTGCTGCGCCGCCTCTTTTTACCAGTACTTTTACCTGGAACATTTCGCAGAAGGCCAGCAAAGGTGGCACAGGGGAAAATTTAGCAGAGACCGAGAATGTCACCTCCGCGCTGGTCTCCACAGTCCAGCCTGGCCGGGAAAGGCCAAGCCCCGGCAGCTCCGGAGGGTTTGAGGAAAGACAGCCGCTGTGTTCTGAGAACAGTTCTTCTGTGCAGTTTCCAGAAGGCGGTGACGAGAGCCCCAGGACCCGTGCCCCAGACACTGCAGACACACCAGCCGGAAATGGTTCGGTTGTGATGTTTCCTCCTGAGAAGCCGGTGTCTTTAACTACTAATCTTGAGTGTCTTCGGGTGACCAGGGAAAGTGGGGACACATCGACCGTTACCATGGCCACCAAAGTCCACCCAGCCAAATACCTCCCTGTTTCAATCGCGGAGGACAGTCACGCCAATGGTCCCAGGGAGAGTTCCCCTCAGGCTCCGGAAGGAAATATTTGCCAGCTTCCTTCCAATGCACAGTTGGGCCATATTTTTCATTATTCCACAACGGCATCTCTAGAAGAGCCCTTTGGCCTGGCTCCCGGGGGGCCAGGAGTCCACATCCACGTTCCTCAGCTCCCAGAAGGAGAGGGTTTCTGCCACACTTCCCCTCTTCAGACTGATAACCATTCTGGAAATAAGAGCCCGGCCGTGGACGGAGCAGGCCGGAGGAGCCTCGAGGAGCATTTCCAAGACAAAGAAAGTGAAACGACACAGAGGATCCAGCAAGAGAGCTTACCCCAAAAGAGTTCTCCTCCTGAAGATGATCTCCAAGAAAGCTGGTCCAGGATGCCTGTTGCCCAAGGGCAGATAGTCCCACTGTCCTCACACTGCTTATCAGCAAACTCCAGGGAGGAGAGAGGACTGAGCTCAGGCGCGGGGACTAGCGCGTGCGAGGCGGCTGAAGCCGCTGTGGAAGTTGGAGGTCAGGCTCCAAGCCACATTTCTCCTCTCTCTAATGTCCCCCTGGAAGAGTCCGGAGGGAGCAGGCCAGGACTTTGGGAAACAGGAAGCAAGCTGAAGATTATAACTCTGGAAGCTTCCATTCCAGAAGTCTGGCCACCCAGACAACAGCCAGGTTCCAAGTACAAGGAGCTGGAAGCGGGTCCCACGATTCCTGACAGGGTCTGGGCTGTGTGGGACGTTCTCAAGGCTCACGGCCCTCAGGCTGAGTCTGGCTCAGAGCTTGCCATTGACAGAGAAGTGCACGTTAGTGGAAAACCAGCCGGCCGTGCATCCTGGAGGAGTCTTTCGTCAGAGTATTTGAGCCAACCCAGACTCCTAGAGTCATCAGTGGATCCTGTGGACGAAAAGGAATTAGACGTCGCAGATTTGCTATACGAGCCTTCCAAAACTGGAAAGAGGGAAAACGTTAACAGTGTGAGCCGAAACCGAGAGGGCGACCGAGTCCAGGCGGATCGCGCAGCTTTCTTTAAACGGTTTCTGACCCGCCCGAAGGTCATGGAGTCCCCTGTGGACCCCACAGATGCGGCAGGTGGGACGGTGTGTGCCTGGGCTGAGACGGCGGGGCCTCCAGCGTCCTCCGCGCCAGTCATCAGTGAGGACAGTGACCGGAATGCTGGGCCCATGGGCCAGAGACTGGCTGTCCGGCCCCCCGTCTTGCAAGTCCTGAGTCCTGACAAAGGTTGGGGGGCACGTCCCCGTGCACGTGGAATCGGCCAAATTCAAGAGGGCAGCAAGAGAAGCTCCGGGGAGGCTGAACGCAGTAAAAACGACAAAGCAGAGTCTGTTTTCCCCACTTTACCTCTTTCTGATGGGCCTGCAGTGATGACTCACGCATGTGACGGAGCAGATATTCGCGACTCCTCGGGTCAAATGCATGACGTCCCTGAGAAGGGTGTCGTGGGGCCCAGAAACCACCCATACGCATTTTCTGACTCAAAGGACAGAGGAGCCGTTGAGAGCGAGTGTGGGAAACATTCACCCTCTCCCAGCGCTCTCACTCGGTTGCCTTTTACCGCCTGTCCTGAAGGAAACATCACAAACTTTTCAGAAAGACACAAAATCCAGGAACCTATAGGGGAGGAGCCCCGCACCGGGGAAGCCACATCCACCGGCGCATCGGGCTCGCCCGCCGTGACCTTGGCCTCCACGGCAGGTGGACGTGTGTCAGAGAAAGCTCCCGAGATACTGCCGTCCCCATGCCAACAGGGCTCCAGCCTGGGCTCTGGGCGAAAACCCAGGGAGGAGAAGCTCGGGCACACGACCGCCCAGACCCTCGGCTTCCCGAAGTCCCCTGCCGCAGGGAGCGGTTCCCGGGAGGTCAAGAGGCAAGAGGCTGCAGGGAGAGGACCCTTAGCTGAGGGCGTGAAGAAGAAACTTCTCTCCAGGGTGGCCACCCTGAGGCTGCGATTGGAGGAGGAGAACGTCAGGCGGAGTTCAAGCTTTCTCAGAAGGATTCCTGCACCTGAACCACCTGCATCAGGCACAGACGGGAGGCAAGACGCGGAGGAGCCTCCTTGCAGAAGAGAGGGAAAAGGTGAGGCTCTGTGGCTGTCGCTGTTAGCGTTTGGGCCGGCGAGCCGGAGGCCCAGCTCCTGTGTGCAGATTGCCGGGCTCTACCTCCAGAGTTTCTGATTCAAGTTTCGGGCTGGAGAAAGCGGCTTCTTTCTTTCTTTTTTTAAGATTTTATTTATTCATCAGAGAAAGAACACACAAGCAGGGAGAGAGGCAGAAGGAGAGGGAGAGGTAAGCTCCCCGCTGAGCTGGGAGCCCAATGCGGGGCTCCACCCCAGGACCTGGAGATCATGACCTGAGCCGAAGGCAGACGCTAACCATCCGAGCCACCCAGGTGCCCCGAGAAAGTGGTTTCTAACAGGTCCCCAGGTGATCTCCAGAGAGAACCGCTAGAAGAGGCTGCCTGGAGGTAGATTTAACCAAGGGAGCGTGATTAAGATGACTTTCTGTTTAATTATCCTTTAAAAAATATTTTAAAAGATAAACAGAGGCATTCATCAGTGTAGCTAATTAGTATAATTAAATAGACCACATACTAAGCAGGATTTACAGAAATAAACATTTAGGTACAATTTGGGCGTCTCCTCTTTAATTGGTGATTTTCATTAAAAACAGCTTAATTGAATCCTGGATTTTCTTCCAAATGTGAACATAAAATTTCTTTCCAACTTACCCTTCTCTTTGAGTCTAAAGTGCCCTGGGGGCTCCGTTCCAGGTTTCAAACCAACTGAGTCTCAGAGCGCTATAAATGCCGTCACCGCTGCTTTTGCACTGGGAGTGCCGCCTCAACCCCAAACTCCATCCCTTAACCCGAATTTTAGCCTCTGTTATTTCAGAGCTCTTCTTTCCCTCCCCATGGGTGGGAGGAGTCAAAAGAGAAGACACCGCAGCCAGTGATGCCATCTGCGCGTGCGGGATCTTGATGCTGGGGCCCCCTTAACCCTAAGGGGGCTTTGCTCCTCCTGCCGGAGTTTTCAGACCTCCACACTGATGCTCCTTATTCCTGTGGACACCACTTGGCCCTCAGCGCCTGCTGCAGGCAGGATTCAATACAAAACTCCCTTCAGAACGTTTGGGGGCATCCAGCCAGGTTTCTAGAAGACATGTTTTAAAACATTTAAAGTTGGGGCACCCAGGTGGCTCAGTCGGTTAAGTGTCTGCCTTCAGCTCAGGTCATGATCCTGGGGTCCTGGGATCCCGTTCCAAGTTGGGAATCCCTGCTCAGTGGGGAGTCTGCCCCTCCTTCTCTGCCTCCCCAGCTTGTGGCTCTCCTCTCTCTCTCTCAAATAAATAAAATCTTAAAAAAAACCCAAAAAAACAAAAAAACACATATTTAAAGAGGATGGAGCGGTATTTTATAAGATTTCTAAAGTGGTTTCAGCCGGAAGGGAAACGTCTATTGGGAATCCTTGTCCGTGGTTTTTCGAGTTTCTGTAGGAACAAGGACGCTGCAGGTAAGCGCGGACTGGTGGAGCTTATGCTGGGTGTCCCCAAGACCTCCTGGGTCAGCGCAGTGTTCTTCTGGGAGGGAGGCTGTGCTCTCAAACCACAGACCGAGCAGGGAAGGAGTTAGTATGTGGGGGGGGGGGGGGTGCAATGCCTCAAATGACTCAAAGAAATAAAACTGAGTAACCTTTCCTGGGAACATTCAAAGCTTTCTATTCTAGTCTTTCCACTCAACACTTGGCCAGAATACGCACAGAAGAAAAACCTAGCCACACTCCCAGGCTTCCTTGTAGCTCCTTCATCTCCATCCCTCCCTTTCTCCCACCCAAAGAGAGGTCCTTTCGGAAGCCCCGAGACCTCTTGTCCAAGCCAGCTTTCTACTAGAAAGCTTTCCGGGACCCTCATTTCATCCTGCTGCCCACTGTATGCCCTTCCCTCTGTCACCCCAACTTTCTGTGTTCAAAACTTAGAATGTGCGGTGGACAGGGTTGGCTGCTTTAGGAACACTCAGGTATCCACAAATCATCATGAAGGCTGCCACTGCATAGAGTTGGAAGGGCCCTTGAGGAATTAGGTCCCAGAGGAGGAGGCAGGCTGGGTCTGGACCAAGAGTTTGAGACCATGGGCCTCAGGACCTAACACAGCTAGCCCCATTGGGCCATTTGCAGTGAAATGGATGTTGCCATCGATAAGCACTTGGTATGTTTTCTCTCTCCCATCATATTGTCAGTATCTTCAGCTACTTCCTAGTTGGGGGACTTATTCCCTGATCAGCCCATTATCACTTTCTGGGAAGAATAAGCTTTTAAATGTGCATTCTGTTGCCCACATGTCTGTTGGCATCAAGGAGGGAAGAGAGGCACCTTTAATCCATTGGCGACTTCACAGTGGGATTTGCGGTAAAGGGGCAAACAAAGCGTCAGCATTGAGGACTTCTGGCTTGGCGGTGGATTACGTCATGTTCTGGGTTATCACAGCTGCGGGGTTAGGGAAGTAGGTTTGCAGAAGATTGACACCAGGTTTCCAGTAACCTTATGGCCAAATCACTCTGCCCACCTGGCTGGGTCTGCCGTCCGTGTCCCGTTCTAATGTCTGTCCTGCCACCCAGTGGCTGGCCTGAGTAATGACACATTTCCCCGTCGGGCAGGGCGCTCATCCCGGATTTAATTAAAAACGCGATGTTTGGGATGCCTGCGTGGCTCAGTTGGTTAAGCAGCTGCCTTCGGCTCAGGTCATGATCCCAGCGTCCTGGGATCAAGTCCCACATCGGGCTCCTTGCTCTGCAGGGAGCCTGCTTCTCCCTCTGCCTCTGCCTGCCATTCTGTCTGCCTGTGCTCGCTCTCCCTCTCTCTGATAAATAAAAAAAATCTTAAAAAAATAAAAAAATAAAAATAAAAATGCGATGTTCAAAGAGCTCAGGCTAACCCCCGAATGGTTTCTTGCTCGCTCCTATTTCATTCAAGAAGATGCTTCTCTTTTGCTAATGAAATTGATGTCAGACATCACTGCACTCCATTAGGATATTTTCAGCGAAGACAACAGATCAAGGGGAAAGATGGATGAATGTTATTCACAGATAACCCACCCAACTGGATTTTATTCTGCTCCTAATCCCCAGCTCTGATTTTGACCTGGACCATCTGGTGATCCTTTAAAAGCATCTCTATTTGGCCCAGGTTTATAGGCTAGGTATCTCCAGCCCCCCACCCTCTTCTTTAAAAAAAAAAAAAAAGTCTCTCACATTCTATTTCACTTTGTGCGTTACAGAGCTCACTCATGCAGTGTTTCTTAATGAAAAATGAGGTGGATTAGTTCATTTTTCTGACTGTATAAGTATGCCACTTCTCCCCTCAGACACTTGGCTTCCTCATCCATGAATTGAGGGTAATAATTATTATCCCTATTTTGGGGATTGTTGTCAGAATGACATGTGATACAATGGCAAAGTCTCTTCCCCACCATGAAGTCTTTCTTTGCAACTGTTGTAAGAACACTGACCTGAAAATCTCTCCTTCACAGCTCCGATATTACTGAAAAAGATCCAAGCCGAGATGTACCCTGACCACTCCGGGAATATTAAATTATGCTGCCAGTTTGCAGAAATTCATGAAGATTCTACTGTCTGGTGGACAAAAGATTCAAAGTCAATAGCCCAAGTGCAGAGAAGGTGCGCTATTTACCTGGTCACTTTTCACTGCTGTTGCGTGTTTCACAACATAGTTCTAAAAGAAAATTATTATAGGAAATAAAAAGGGAAACTGAAGTCGAAACCCCACACCCAAAGTATCCAAGACGAGTAAGTAACCGAAGACAGATGTCTAGACAGAGAAAGCCGTGGAGGGTTCTTAGCCAGGCTCTGCCATCCCTGAGTTTGGGGACCTCAGGAAGTCAGGAAACTTTTCATGATGTTTCTAGAATCAGGGAAACGGGTCAGATCATCTTCTAGTCGGAGGTTCTGTGGTCCCAAGAGTACAGAGCTCTCTTCTGCATGTCTGTGAATTTGGCTGTGTTCTCTGTATCATAATTCCCATGAGCCTGACAAATTTCAAGGCTAAAAAGGTGAACCCAAAGAAAGAAGAAAAGGAAAATTACCTCTCCACCATGAGGTCGTTGAAAGTAGCAGCTTGGAGGGTGATAAACAGCCCCTTTCTGAGATGGGAAAAGCTGTTTATTTCTTGGATGGAGAGGAGAGGAGGAGGGGAGAGAGAGGAGAGTGAGAATCTGCCGAGAATTCCGGTGTGGAATGAACCTGGCGAACGGCTTCCTAGAGCGCTGTGCTGGCAACACACGCTCCTTCAGGTGACCTGCGGACCTGGAGCTTCATCTGACACACCTGAGGGGGCGTGGCTGGTTCTTAAACAGACCAATGGGCTCCGTGGAAACACTGTCACACTGTCTCAGGTGCTTTTTCTGCCAAAGGAGGTCCCTGTTCAGCTCCCTGAGTCACGGAGGTTCCTACCCCCTTCATCTCGCCACAAGCAGCCTGAAAAAGGAAGGACAACCTGAGAGCTTTCTGTCAAATTAAATCAAATGGGTCCGCTGGGAACCCATTCCGGAAATTAGGTCCCAAATGCAACCACGGCAGATTTGAGCTACAGTTTCTTTGCCATGACATCACTCCAGAACACTAACTGGGTTGTGATGGATGGAATCATGTTTGCTGCCTAAAACGCTGCGATCATTCCGCCTGTTTTACGTATGGCTTCAGAAGAATTTTAATGGAGAATAAATGACTTGATTTTTAAATCAAGGCCTCTCCCTAGAGCTGTATAGAAAGGAAGCACCCATTATTCACTTTAAAAACTTGCTGTAGCTGTCAGCCAAGGATAATTAACCAGTGGGGGTGTCTCCATCTTGCTCTGAGCTCAGAATTGGCACCGGAATCCTTTGGGTCCCTTTTCCATCTGAGATGTCTTTAGAAAACCCAGCCTCCCTCTGGGGAGCATTTGGCAACAGTAGGCTTGCCCTGTACCGGTGACACGTGGCCAAGTCTTTACGTTCTTAGCCGCGCTGGCTTCACTCCTTCTTGGCCACACTGGCTTAGGTGCACCCCTTTGCCTCTTCTGTGGTATGTGGGGAATATTTGGGAGGCCTACGTCCTCTGTATATCAAGAAATCATTTACGTTAGTTCAAGTGGCTTTTTAAATGTTATCGAATTTCTTTCACCTTAATTCCAGTCCCTCCAAGAAGTATCTCACTGCCTTGTCAAAACATCATTTCCCAGAAGCTGAAATCTCTCAAGCAAGTATAATATAAACACGTAGCCAAGATCTCTTTCAGCTCATTAAATAATGAAGAACCAGGAAGATAGTAAAGCCATTCAAAGGAACATTTGAGGAATGGAGATTTATATAGTCTGTTGGGCAAATCGATAATACTTTTGCAAACAGGTACAAAACTGGTTAATATTTGACAGGTCATAAACACCGAGGGTTATCTTTTCTCCTAGACAGAACTTGTAAATCGCAAGTTAAAAATGTCTCTGGGGGTTCTAGTTAAACAGCAAAGTCAGGCACAAGAGCATTCTCCCATAATTAAATTCTCCTTGGGTGAGCCCGTGAAACTGACATGTGAAGGGCCGGAAGAGGCCTCCAAGGTTCTCCGTCAGGTGTCAGAGGATCAGGGAATTTGGGTCAGAAGCCACAGAGAAAGACACCGCCCCAGGCCTTCTGTGACTCAGCGTTTCGCAGCCCAACAGGAAATCTTCAGCTCGTGACTGGGACTGTCCACTTTCCACCATGCATTCAGGACGCCTTCAGAGGCTCTCTCGGTGGACGATGTATTATCATTTCATGGGCTTTTCTTTTAAGCCATTGGTGCATGAAACATGTGTAAATCAGAGACTTGATGTCCACTGAAAAACCAACCGAGTGTGTCTCTACTTCAGGGACTAAGCAACTGAGAGGATAAGTGGAATCTGGGTTTGAACTGTGAAATGACCCAAAACTGAAACAGACAAACCTGGTGAATGTTTAACAACATTGTGGAAAAAAACTGCAACAATATTTAATGTAACTTTTTGGCTACAAAGTAAGTTTTTAGTGTGAGACTTTGGAATGAAGACTGCAGCGTTAGCCATAATTCCCATGATCCCAGATTTGAGGGGAGTGATCCAAATCACTTGAAGAGGCAGCGTCATGAGATCAAGGTGAGGACTCCAGACTCAGGCTTTCTTGGTTCAAGTCCCAGCCCAACCCAGCTGTGGGAACTTAGGTCACATGCTTGACCTCTGTATGCCTCAGTTCTCTCATCTGTGAAGTGGGGATAGTAATACCACTTCTCTCATTACATTGATCTGTGTGTGACATGAAATAGATGTTTAAGTCATCAGTACGATGCCAGGTGCATACCAAGTGCTCAGTACATGTTAGCTATCAGCATCATCGTCACCACCGGTTTTTCTGTTCATAGCACGGTGCCTGGAACTTACAATGTTGAATGGGTGGGAGGGCGGATGGATGGCTGGTATTCAGTCTGGGGGTATCCTATTTAAAAAAAAAAAAAGCCCTCAGCCACGTGTCCTTATTTACAGCAGAGACCCCCTTTCTTTTGTCCCTTATTGCATCTGTGTTTAGATTTGGGTTTGGAATTTTCAGGTCTCCTTCAAGCACAGGCACCTGGATTGGTAACATAATTGAGGTGAATTCTGAGCAGAAATGTTCATGACAGCCCCCAGAATCCACATTTCTGGTTCTTTACTAGCAGCAGCCAAACCTCCCAAATGTTTCTGTCTTAATATTGCATGTTGGAGTGAGGATGTTAAGCCAAAATCGTGCTGATCGTCCCCTCAGATGAATGAAGGATTTGAACAGCTCATCGAGGTTTTGTTCTTTAACCAACCGACTGGTCCAAAACATGAGGGCAGGGAAGCATGTTTCTTTCTCCGTAAGTGCATTAGAAACCTCCAACCTCAGGACGATGAAGCGTTCAAATATTCATGTCCCCTACTGCAGTGCGGGTGACAACTCGATTGTGTCCTTGGCCATCATGCAAGCTGGTCAGAAGGACCAGGGCACCTATGACTGCTCCATCAAGAACAGTTACGGAAAACTGACCACTGAGTTTAACCTCACGGCTGAAGGTAAGCCTCGGAGGCTTGGTTTCAGGCGAAAACCGCGAGCTCTAACTCCCCTGCCCCCCAGTTCAGAATGCCCATGCGTACTGAAGGCACTCTCTCCTTTTCTTCTAGTTCTGAAACAACTCACGAGTCACCAGGATCTGAAAGGTAAGCCAGTCGTTGGTTGTCCAAGGACGTGGGCCCTCCGTAAAAGCATGAAATAGCTCCTGGAATCAAGGGTAGAAGCAGTATTCCTGCTGACTCTTCCAACCAAGTAGGAGAGAGCGCAGGAATGACTGAGACACAAAAGACAATTTCAAGCTGGTTGCAGGCCTACCGTAAGTGCGGGAGGTGACGACTGCCCGGAAATGTTTACGAAAGATCAGACTGCAGGTGTGGTGCTCCAGGACAGCTTGGTGGGCTTTGAGGGAAGAGTCCTACCTGTAAGCCTCAGTCTGGCATCCAGCCCCTCTGCAGGCTGTTTTGCGTCTTCAGTTTGCTTGGCAATTTGACTAGCCCATCCGATTCCAAAGACCACCCAGTATCGAGGGGAATAACTTCGTTTGCATCTTAATGAAAACGAGAGATGGGTTTGGATGCTTTCCTTTGGCGTTTGGTGCTGGTATGGCAACAGCCAAACAGGGGCTCCTGAGCAGTCACCTGCCTCGGGGCCACCTAGTGTGGCTTGGTAGAGTCCATGCTTGGCCTGTGTTTCCTCTTAGGGAAAATTCCCTGCCCCCGCACACATGCCCATCCCCACCCAGTAGCGTGCTGGGAAATGTTTAACAACGTGCCCAGGGTGTGTGGGGGAGGGTGCACTGATTTGTTGAGTTTTCTCATTTCTGTGGTGTAAATACTATCACCATGGCCAATTTTTACTGCACGTGTGAGATGGAGAAAACACGGAGCCAGGAAGAGATGCCCACCAGCAGCTGGAGCGAGCTGGCTGCAGCCCACCCATGCACGCCAACCCATGCACGCCCACCTGTGCACGCCCGCGTCACTGACCATAGCTTTTTGCATCTCGTAGGAGCTTTGGTGACTTTTAGAAGAGATGTGAGTAAAATGGATAACTCAGTTGATTCAGCCTCATAAAGAAATTCACCTCGTGGGCTGATTTTTAGACAAACAAAAACACCCGAAGACGGGGAAGTCTTTGTGGAGACAAGACAGTAAATGCGATTATGATGGGGGAACACCTAGTTCATAAAGGGCAAGGAGCTGGGATCTTGACTTAGAAATGGTCTAGCAGGGGCGCCTGAGTGGTGCAGTGGGTTAAAGCCTCTGTCTTCGGCTCAGGTCATGATCTCAGGGTCTTGGGATTGAGCCCCGCATCGGGCTCTCTGCTCAGTGGGGAGCCTCCTTCCCCCTGCCTCTCTGCCTACTTGTGATCTCTCTCACGTATCATGATATTTATATCATGATATTTATCGGCAACAACAAACAGGCTCTTTGCAAACCTATTCAAACGTTATGTACCTGTCTTTAGTGTGGAGTACGCTTATATGATTTCAGATCCTTTTGCCATGTCTGCCCCCCCATCTCCCCAAAAGTCTAAATAAGCAAAAGGATGTCCTTCCTCCTTATGCTTGAGAAAACAGAATAACTTCCAGAAGAAGGGCTTCTCTGTGTCATCAGCTTAGCATTGCTGGGCATTCACATGCTGGATACTTGCCACAACCTCGTTCATTTAGGTTCACATAAACTCATTTTTCTAGGTGTTTACCAGTTAGGAACTGGTAAAAGAGACCCCAGTGGGGATGAGCTGCTGGTCACCTTATGAAAACAGTGCTGATATAGCCCTGTGACTCCAGCCAGAGGGTTTGGGTCTAGATCCAATGACATCACCTCCTCCCAGTGTCGGATCTCCCTGTGACTGGGGGGGTCCAGTGTCAGTGACTCACTGGAAAGTGAGGGGATCCCATACTTTCCTCCCCATCCCCTTGATCTTTCAGATGAAGAAGGCTCAAATGACTTCTTGATCACCTTTCTTGTTTGGGGGAGTCTCTCTCACATTTTATTAATTGAGTTCTCTAGAGGAGGAACAAATAATATTTTACAAGTTGGTCCCTAATTAAAAAACTAATAAGATCAAGCTTGTGGGAAGGCCCCAAATGAAAGATGGTCCAAATAAAACACAAGCAAGCACAATTTAATGATAGCACACAGGGCTTTCAAAGAAAAGTCCTAAGATTTATTTTTTCCCTTTCATTGTTTTAAGTAGACATTTCTGTTGGAAATTATAGATGGGATTGTTAATTATACCTAATATAATACTATACAGAAAATGTCCCTTGTTATTTCTAAGCACATAGTCTGGACAACTTTTGTGTTAAATCTGATGCATTTCTAAGTACTTGGTATACACATTTCTGTTAAGAATAATTGAGTTTCAGGGGTGCCTGGGTGGCTCAGTAGGTTAAGCCTCTGCCTTCAGCTCAGGTCATGATCTCAGGGTCCTGGGATCGAGCCCCGCATTGGGCTCTCTGCTCAGCAGGGAGCCTGCTTCCCCCTCTCTCTCTGCTTGTCTCTGCCTACTTGTGATCTCTCTGTCAAATAAATAAATAAAATATTAAAAAAAAAAAGAATAATTGAGTTTCAGAAATTTGGGGGGATTATGCAAGAAAACAGAATGGGGTAAATACAGTTCATATTTATTGGGCTCTGATGTGTTTACACAAAATACTTCCTATGTTCACTAAGTGGTATTAGGACCCAAACTGTTAACATGAAATTAATCATGTAACTAGAATTGAGATTTGGGTTATATATATATATATATTTAAAACCCTTCTTCATTTTGTGATCCGATTTTAAAATTTAACTTAAGAAAAAACTATCCTCTTCTCCATAAATTGATTTATTTTTCTGGTTCTATCACTAAGGTTAATATCTATGGTACAAGGATCTCCTTAAAAATCTGCCTGGGAGGCACTTGGATAGCACAGTCGTTTGGGAGACCGACTGCTGGTTTCGGCTTGGGTCATGATCTCTGGGTCATGAGAAATATTTGCCTGGGACAATGTCTCACGGGCTGCCTGTTCCCCTACTTTTCCACCCCAGTTCTCTCTCGAGACCCAGGACAGGTTACTTGGTCAGAGGCTCCTACTCGGCTTGGTGAAATCTTGGATAGTTTTTCTGTGCACTCTCCACTGGCACCTTCAGCCCTTTTCCTATTTGAACCCCTCCCTACCACCTCCCTTCTTTCTCTCTGTCAATAACTATGACTCGTCATTCATCCCCAGAGAGGGAGAGACGGAATCCCAGGCAGGCTCCACACCAGCAAGAGGGGCTCCATCTCACGACCCTGAGATCATGACCTGAGTCAAAATCAGGAGTTGGACACCCAACTGTCTGAGTCCCCCCAGTGTCCCAAGAAATAATTTTCATCTCCTTATGCCTTTAATAGCTAGCTTCAGGCATAGACTGTTCTTAAAACACATGATCTGAAAATATTTTTAAAAGCAGAGAAAAAAATGTTTCTCTGTGCAGTCAAAGTAGAAATGTGAAGTGAGATTTTTCACACGACCCAGGATTTCTTTCTTCCTTAAACATTCAGAAAGATGTTAGTCTTTATCAACTTTGAGAATTGGAGGACATTTTAAAGAATCTAAACAAACTTACTTCACTGAAAACCTTCTTTTCTTCTGTCAGCCCATCAGAATGCTGACTGCTCGCCTCTAGTTTAAAACGGAGCCTTCTGATTGCCTCCATTGTCACCTGAAACATGGAGAATCAAATCTGAAGAAAGCTGGTGCTAGAAAAATAATTCTACTTATCTTTTTACAAATAAATCCAAAATAATTAGACTTTTTTTTTCTGTATTTCTTCAGAGGCAGTTCCTTTAACTGTTTGGTTTTTGTCTGCCTCTTTCTTTCTTTCTTTTCTTTTTCTTTTTTTTTTTTTTAAAGATTTTATTTATTTATTTGACACAGAGAGAGAGAGCACAAGCAGGGGGGAGCGGAGGGAGAGAGAGAGAAACAGGCTCCCCACTGAGCAGGGAACCTGGCGCGGGCTTGATCCCAGGACCCTGGCATCATGACCCAAGCTGAAGGCATGCGCTTAACCGACTGAGCCACCCAGGCGTCCCTGTCTGCCTATTTCTTTTGTCTGCCACAGACATTCTCAACACAGGGAGGCAGTGTTGCTCCCGAGAAGGCAAAAATTGCTTCTTAAGGAGGCAAAACAAAACAAAACCAAACAAAACCCTGTACTCCGATTGTGTGTGCAGCACAGATATACACATAGGATGCACACAGATATACAGTACAAGTGTGGAATTAAAATTTCGGGGTAGGGGCAATTTGGAAAAAAGTCTAAAAAGACTCCTTTCAAAGGGCAATCATGAGAAGAAAGGTTGAGAAGCATCGATCTATCACATCTAACCACTGGTCCCTCCTCCGTTCTCCACCCTTCACCTGTCTTTTCAACTTACTTTTAATGACCTTTCACAGTCCTGTCCGTATTTTCCAGGTCTGTCTAAACTTCTTTTCCTGGGGAGCCCAGGAAACATGAAATAATTAATCATGTAACTAGAATTGAGAGTTGGGTTATATTAAAAAAACACCGCTTCTTCATTTTTGTGATCCAATTTTAAAATTTAACTTATAAAAAAACTGCACTGTTTAAACTTCTTTTCCTTGCCCCAACCAGTCTTCTCCCCTCTCCCTGGCTCCGCGGAGGCCTCGCGCGGGTCTTCCCCCCTCCCCCTGGAGGGCTCACCCCCCTCCCCCCACCATCTCATCTTTGAGTTGGGCCTCCATGGGGAGTGTGGTTTCCCGTCCGGGCTCTACCTGCCAGCCTTGCCCTCGGCCCTGTGTGGGAACACGTGTTAGCCGAGAAGCAGCACTGGGGGGTCTAACTAAAGGCGAGCTGTGTTTCAGGATGTGAAGAGATCGAATTCAGCCAGCTCATCTTCAGAGAAGACTTCCTCAGCGACAGCTACTTCGGGGACCACCTGCGCGGTCAGATCGCCACAGAAGAGCTGCACTTCGGCGAAGGCGTCCACCGGAAGGCCTTCCGCAGCAAGGTGATGCGGGGGCTCACGCCCGTCTTCCAGCCCGGCCACGCCTGCGTGCTCAAAGTGCACAACGCTGTTGCCTATGGGACCAGAAACAACGACGAGCTCATCCAGAGGAACTACAAACTCGCTGCCCAGGTGGGTCCACCTGCCCGGAAGGGTCAGCTGGATGGGACTCAGCCGGAGTCTGGAGGTCCCTCCCTGGTTCTCACCCGGGCTGGGATCCATTCTGTTCCTAGGGTGCTCCATGAAGTCCTTGAAGGTTTGAGTCTGTATGCAAGCTACACGGCTGCCAGGATCCCTAAGCATCCCCAAGAGAGCAGTTTCTAGATCGCTTTGCTTTGGTTTGGTTTATGGAGGGGTGTGGGGTATAATCAGAAGGCCCTGCCTTTGTCCTGTTTCCTGCCTTTCTGAGTTTGAGCCAAGACTCCAGCTAAGTTCACGCCTTCCTATGTTACTGAGTCGCAGAATCTTGAGACAAGAAGAGATCTGGGCTTCCCTCCCTGCCTCCCCCTCCCGCTTTGGCCCGTGTATTCACTCTTGACACCAGCACTGGCCAAGCTTTTGGGAGTGCTGGGACTAGCTCTGTCACAAGCGAGGTGCCCTTCTAACACTGTTCCCTGGAACACAATTAGGTTAGACTTTGATGAATCTCCTGGGTACTGTCAAGCAGTAGCCACCCAGGATGGTCTCAGACATGCTGATGTCAGGTGGGACTTGGGGCTCATGAAGGCAGCCCCTCTTCTGAGGATAGGATTTTGCCAATTGTATTCCTTTCTTCCAATCAACCGTTCTTTCTTCTATTCTTTCACGGCATCCTCTCAAGTACCATCTGGTCTGGTCAGGGAAAAGCCCCAGCATCCAGACTCCCTCTTGGAGAGGCCCTACAGAGTGGAAGGCAGAATCCAGTTTGCTTTTCCGGGGCAAACAGTCTTGTCAAGGTGTTCACTACCCACAACCCTCGTCACACCCCTGAGGAAGATTTCAGATGGGAGAGCTCACAGGCAGCCCAGCAGGTCCCCCAAGTTTTACCTGACATCCTGCCCTGGGGCCAGTCCCCTTAGCCCAGGGTGAATTTCAGCCATGCACGTTCTAGAACTTTTTTAGTTCAGGATGCCTGGCGCCAGAGACCGCTTGAGCTTTACCTGGGGAGTTCCTTCAGGTCTCAGAGAGGCTCTTCCAGTGGACAGCTCTAGGTTTCAGCGATGCAGCAGTGTAGCAATCACTGTTACTTCTGGGCCCCCAACTAGGGGATGGCTGGGTTTGGGAATCCATTGGCTTTACCGCAGCTCTGAATTTCCTCTAATCATTTGTCTTTCCCATGCGTGTGGGTGATGTAGGAATGCTACGTCCAAAACACCGCCAGACACTATGCCCAGATCTATGCTGCCGAAGCACAGCCTCTGGAGGGCTTTGGAGAAGTGCCGGAGTAAGTGTGTTTACCCGCTCTTGTGTTCTCACTTGGGATTTGTCAGGGACTTGGGGGGCTGGAGGGAGGAGAGGGTGAGAAGGACCAGCAGGACAAGCATTTCACCTGGTCTTTCTGTCTGGGAGCTATGAAAACACACGTGTGGGCTGCTGTCCTGTTCCTTACCAGGTTGCCAGAGGCTTACAGAGAGATATTTGATACATATTCTTTAAATCAATGCCCGTACGTATGTACGTTTATACGGATAGATGGATGAAGGATGGGTAGATGGATGGAGAGGTGAATTCAATAAGTGTATCATATTAAATAGAAAAGAATTGGGTAGAAAATGAATGGGATAAATGTATCATGTGGAACAGAAAAGAAAGAGTGTCTACTTCATGGATATTATAGTGTCTCAACAATAAGCCCGCCCAAGAGAACACGAGACTATCACAAAACAATTACCCTACGGTGAAAATAAAGTATGGTGCCGTGTCTAAGAAGAGTGAATTGGGGATCAGCAGCGTAGGAACGTACCACCCCTTTCCTGGAACCCTGCAGAGAGGAATCCCACTGATTATTTTCATCCACTCATTGGCTGAATATGGACTGACCCAAGCAGATGTTTGGGGGTCTGGAACTTGTGGTTGCTAGACTGCTCCTCTGGTTGAGATCGTGTGTGGGGGGTTAAGTGAAAAGAGAAAGAGGTATGCCAGGGCACATTGGAGATTTCAGATACAACAGCCATTTGTGTATCTGTAGAAACTTGGAGAGGAAGGAAGGAAGGAATCGTTGCCTTCATCGACCCTGTCAGGTCACAAAGGGCAAACATACTCTCCCTGAGGTGGTGTATCGAGCTTATCATATAGAAAGTCCAGTGCTTTCTGCTCTTGGCCAGGAAATGCTTAGCGTATTTATTTAGTTCACAGACATCCCTCAGCAACTTCAAGGAAAATTAACATAATGCAAAGAAAATACACAATTGCTTTTCTGTTAAATCCCCTAAGACTGCAGTCTGCAGTGAGTGATGGCTTTGTGTCACGGGCACTCACACGTTCTCTCTCTTCTCCGGCCCCCTTCCCAGTGTCTGCCCCCATCAGTTCTCAAGGAGGAAGAGGTGAGCTGTGTGAGCTGTGTGCAACGCACAAGACCACAAGAGCTGTGTGAGCTGTGTGCAACGCACAAGACCACGGCGCCCTCGGGTGGGGCACACCCAAGTCTTGTGTGACTTGACACCACAGTTTGGGGGCTTTCTAAAGAAAACAACACAAAATTATGGATATAAAGATTGGTGCAGAGACTTGAGAAGGGCTTATGCTCGTGAGGGACGCGGGGCTGATGAGTGTCATCGGGAGCCCCGCATATATGCCGCTGGCCTGAAGATAGATTGGGACATTTGGTGTGTAAACATCTGTCCCTTCCTTACGGGGGAAGAATTTGTGAGTGTGTGAATGGTAACATATGGAAGGATAAGTGTCCTCGCAAAGGCATCTGCTCCTGATTCCCTGCTCACTGGACCAAAATCAGAGGATTGCGCACTGGGAAACACACACACACACACACACACACACACACACACACACACACTCACACGCAGACCTCTCCCCAGCGGCTGTCCTTGCAAAGCAGGGGCTGTGTCTCTTTCGTGTTTGCTCTCCTGGTGAGTTTTCGAGATTCTGGCACAAGCTACTGGGGAGATGTTTATTGGATGAAAAGAATGGGAGGGTGAGTCACCAGTCACCGAGGTGGGGTCGAGACAGGAGTCTGGGGCATGTGAGGAGTTCCGTTTGGGCTGGGTTCAATCTGAGATGCCTTTTAGACATCGATCGAAGAGAGCAGGAGGCTGGACACTTGAGTCAGGAACTCAGGGGAGAGGTCTGGACTGGGGATAGAAATGTGAAAACCGTCGCCGTACGGACCGTCCTTCAAGCAAGGAGGTCACTAGCCAGTGTGGGCAGAGAGAGAAGAGCTCTCTCTAAAGGCTGCGGAGAAATGAGGCTCCAGCGAAGGAGACGGGAAGAACGTAGCCAGTGGAGCAAGAAGGAGACCAAGAGGAAGTGAGTTTCTGGAAGCAGCAGGAAGGTGCTTTGAGAGCTCAGCTGTGTCCAGTGCCAGTGAGGGCCCGTAAGACACGGGTGCAGAGGAGACCGTTGGACTCGGCCTCACGGGTGCTGCTGGTGCCCTTGGTTAGTGGACACGCCTCTGTGAGGGGGTTCCAGGGCGAATGGGAGGGGAGGGATCGCCCACCATGAGGCTAAACTGACCTGAGTTTGGGTGTCAGCTGTGAGTCAGTTGTCGAGGGGCTGAGAGCTGTCCCAGAGTGTCTCTGGGCCCCGGCAAGGATGTTCCTTAGAGGGAAAAGCGGGTGGAGGAGGCGGGAGAACTTGCTGGAGAAACATCCCTGAGCATTAGAAGGGTTGGCCAGACCCAGACACCAGTGGAAGAAGAGGCACTGGGGGAGGGAGCAAGGAGGCTTCATCCATCGTGGGGGGCGGTAGGGGGAAGCTCTCTTCTGAGTGTTTCAGTCCTCACAGTAAAACAGGAAGCGAGAGCGCGGCTGGGGAGGAGAGGAGCAGGTGTGAAATACCATCTAAGGTGCTGACAGCGAATGGGTTGTACTGAAAACCACAGTCAGGATGCATCCCTTCTCCCCCGGGGCCGCCGTCACTGTTGTGCAGTGTGCCTCCTGATCTCCCTGTTCTGCCCTTGCTCCCGCACGGCCCCTTCTCCGCAGAGTGGCAGAGTCCTCCTGCCACAAGGATGTGTAATTGCGGCACTCCTCTGTCCAAGACCCTCCAGTGGCTTCTCATCCGAATGGTTTTTCAAATGGCCTCCCAGACCCCACAAGTTCTGGCTCCCCATTTGCCCCCTGTCCGCACCCACCTGCTACCACCTCCCCTTTGCTGACCCTACTCCAGCCACACAGGCCCCTCCCTGCTCTTGGAACCCACCAAGAATGCTCCTGCACTGGTGCCTTTTCCCTTTGTTGTTCCTTCTACTTAGAATGCTTTTCCCATAGATACCCTCATGGTTCCCTACCTCCCTTCCTACAGGTCTTTGCTCAAATGTTCTTTCTTAGCAAGGCCTCCTCTGCCCTCCCTCAGTAAAACAGCATCCCCCTCCCTGACCCCTGTGCTACCTAGCACCTTTCCACTGCTTTATTTTTTCACTTAGCTCCTGGCACTATACATTGACTTGTTTATTGCCTGTCTCCCTCATTTAAATGTAAGATCCTTGAGAGCAGAGCCTCTGTTTTCTTTGCTGTTTTCTGGAACAGCATCAGAAGACTATCTGACATAGAAACCACTGAATGAATATTTGCTGAATGAATGGAAGGAAGGAAGGAGGAAGGAGGGAGGGAAGGAAGGAAGGAGGGAGGGAAGGAAGGAAGAAAGGAAGGAAGGAAAGAGATCTGATGGATGGGTCACTGAGATAGGACTGCAATGCAAACATTCATTCCTACATGGGCAGTCAAACTCCATCCCAAGGAGGGCTTTCCAACCAACTCGAGGCACAAATGAAAGACGGAAATATATCTTCCCACCTGTTGAGCAGTCATTGTGGTCGGGGGTCTGCCTACATCTAGTGGAGTCTGGGAATTTGTTCTGCACCTGCTTCCCCCAAGTGAAGACAGAATGCCCTCAGTCTCCGTTTCCAGGTGAGAATGTGATGTGTGACCGTGCTGTCTTGCCTTCCAGGATAATTCCTATCTTCCTCATCCATCGCCCTGACAACAACATCCCGTACGCAACCGTGGAGGAGGAGCTGATCGGCGAGTTCGTGAAGTATTCCATCAGGGATGGGAAGGAGATCAACTTCTTGAGGAGAGACTCGGAGGCTGGTCAGAAGTGCTGTACCTTCCAGCACTGGGTATACCAGAAGACGAGCGGCTGCCTCTTGGTCACGGACATGCAGGGTGAGGAGAGCAGCCTGACCTGGCTTGCGGGGGGGCCGCAGGGCCTGGAATGTTTCCTGGGGTGTGGACGGGAGGAGAGGGAGGGGTCTGCCAGATGCCTTTAAGCATCTTTACCAGCAGGAGGTGTTACTAATGTCTCATCAGAAACAAGCCTGAAATGAGCAGCCAAATGGAGTGATAGAGTGCATTATAATAATTCACGCCAATAACACCTATTACCACAGGTGACCAAAGACTGTCCTCTACAGGGGCAACTCAGAAATAGAGAGGAAAATCTGACTGCACCAAAAGATAAATTAAGACGTAATCATTCTTTCTTAATAGGGCAGTTGCTTTAGATTTTCAAGCCCCGCTGGCTAGTTTGCACATTTTCAATTTATATGCAAATCGATGGGAGTGCATTTTTCCTATGAACTGGGGCTATAATAATTAGGGTACCCAGAGAGACCGCCCTGAGACAAGTTGCAGTTTGAGGTTCCCTAAGACCTCCTTCTGTTTCAATAATTTGCTGGAAGGACTCACAGAACTCAGAAAATCCTTTACACTCTTGGTTATGATTTCTTACAGTGAAAGGATACAGACTCAAATTAGCAAAAGGAAGAGGCTCGTGGGGCAGAGACAGGGGGAGGCCCGGGGGAGCTTCCAGTGTCCTGTCACAGTGGAGCCGCGCAGACGGCGCCAACGTCTCCCAGCAGTGATGTGTGTGGCCGCGTGCATGCTAACTGCCTTCTGGGGAAGTTCGCCCAAACTTCGGTGTTCAGAGTTTTTACTGGGGATCCGTGCCATAGGCATAACTCGTCCCAAGATGCACTTTGGTCTCTAGCCTCTCCAGAGGTCACACCCACCGCCCCACATAGACAAAGACCGTCTTACCAGGCAGGTCATTCCAGGGCTCAGAGGTTACATCTCAGGAGCTGGGTGGGGATTGAGCCTTTATTTGGGCAAAATGAGTCCTCTCCTGCACACTCAAGTTCAGGTACAAATATTGGGGAGGGGATCCCAGGCGACCTTGGTAGGAGAGAGAAGTATGACAGGCTGTGGGAAGGCAGCCAATAGGGGACCTTAGAACACAGCCAGTTCCCCCTGCAGGTCACTAAAGCTCCTGCCTGCCAGGGAGACTCTGGGAGCCTGTGCAGAGCACGCAGCTCAGAATTATCTTCACACAAGGAGGGAGGGAGCAGCGGTATTTATACACCAGTTGTCTTTAGCTACCAGTGGGCAGCCACTCCTGGTGCAGGTGTTAAGGCCCCTGAACTTGCCACCTGCCCGGGACAAGCCAAGCTGAGCAGAGCAGGCTCCCCCGAGCTCAGGCAAAGAGATGCTGGTGGCATGGGGAGGGAGCGGGAGCCAGAGCGCATGGAAGTGGTTAGGGTGAAGACAGCGGGTGGGGCACCAACAGTTTCTACCACAAAGGTTTTCCTTTTCCTCTTCCTTTCCAAATAATAATACTGTGAAGAAAGATCTGAGCTATAATCGTATGCCCGCTGTACGTCAGACCTTGTCGCAGATGAGGATCTCCGGCTCTTGTTACAGCTGGTGGTAAAGAGCAAGACGGCCTCCGGGTTCTGTTCCCACGGCTTCCTAGCTGTGAGCCTTGGGCAAGTTACTTCCCTCTCTGCGCCTCAGTCCTTTACCCGAGGAGTGAGGGGGTCGGTGGGGGGGCGTTGGGGGGCTCAAACAGGCTGGGAAGTCACGTAGCACAGCACTGCCACAGAGTGAGTGTTCCCGATTTTTTTAACATTTTATTTTGAAATAAACACAGACATAAGACGTTGCAAAAAGGTTCAGGGAGATCCCCCCCTTGCGTATGTACTCGTTTTTTCCTATGATTTCTGTCTGAGCTTCATAAGACAAAAGGAAGCCATAAGACATAAGACAAATGGAAGACAGAAGTCTGAGAGGAAGACATTAGGATCCCATTTTACAGATGAGAAAACAGAGACCTAGAGACAATGCTTTAATTGCCTGCTGTCACCCAGCTAATAAGCAGAGGAGTCCGAGACCCTGCCTGTGGCTTCGGACTCCAAAACCCAAGCTCTTCCACTAAACCGCAAATTTACCAATTTGTGAGAGATTTCCAACTGTTTCCTGAGATTAGAGCGTCCAGTGAGGGCCTTCTTGAGGGCCAGCTGGGAACTGCAAGGTCAGAGCTTTGCGGGTGGGGCCAATCTGCATATTGGAGGCGGCATACCCGCTCAGCTGCCTTGGAGACTCCGCTGCCACACGTACACACACGTACGCACACGTACACACACGCGCGCACACGATCTTAATACACAGCTCTCTATTCTAGTTAGACTCCGGCTGTGTAGGTCTGGATTCCCACCTCCATCTTTTCCCCTTCAGAGTTAATTTCGCAATAAGTATAGTTCTTCTGCTGAAAAGCAGCACCCCGGAGCTCCGCGCAGGGTTCGTTTTGCTTCTAGGCACCTGCGAACAAGCTTCGTGGAATGTTACATCTCTTGGTGAACAGCGTGTGCGGTCCACTGCACTGGCACAGTGTCTAACGGGGTGTTTTTACACTCTGCTGCTGGGGAAAATCTCGTTACTGTCATCATCGTTGTGGAGGAGATAGCACTCCACTCTCTAGAGAACCTGTACATTTTCTAATTTGACTGAGATGCCGGAACTAGGATGAAAAACAAAACAAAACAAGCCCAAACTCAACTATGACCTTCTCAGACTCTTAAAAGCGATCCCTTCCCTCATTGCCGTAGTTGTTGGCAGGATTGAGGGGGGTTCGGCAAGCTTGGGGTGAAAGCCCCGCGTGTGGTTGGGCCCTGAGATCTGCCCATCGCTGAGACCACGAGGGTTCCTAAGAAGCAGTCACCCCAAAGACCCAAAAACCCAAGTTCTGGAGAACAAATTCCTGATGCTGCCTACTTCCTTCCTTCCACCAGAAACGACCCGCTATCCCCCGCTACCCTCCATGGCTGCACACTAGAATTCAAATTATTACCCTTTGGAGATTTGGATTGGACTGCCGGCAAATCACTGAACTGAGACGTTTCCTTTTCAAAATTATATTCTATTTTTCTCCACTGTATGTGATAGCTGGTAATTGCGAGAGGTGGGAAAAGCGATCCACAAGTTCAAGGACCTTTTGCCAAATGACTTTTTGAAATTGGACTAAAATGCAGCTCAGAGCTGTGATTTTTAAATGCAGCGCTCCACAAAAACAAGATGTCCGAAGTGGCTTTTTACAATTTGGTGCCCTTTTCTCTTTTTCCTTTTTTTTTTTTTTTTTTTTTTTTTTTAAAGCGCAGCCACTGTAATAAAGGCTACGTGAAGCACTTCGGCATACGTTCTAGTTGTTAGCTTTGGGAGAATGAGGTGAATCAGTCGCCCACTGCAAAAGCGGCCTTTAAAATGCTCACTGGCCCTCCGAAGTGCCGGGTCTCATTTAGCTCACGGGTGCACGCGGCAAAGCGGTTTCTGTCGGACCAGCCAGCCTGAAGAGCCGCATGGCCTGTGTTTTTGCCGTGCTCCGGGCGGAGGCTGCTGACTCAGAGCATTAACCCATCAGCATTCCTTTCCTGGGCCTCCGAAAGCAGCGCTCCCAGAGTGGAGACTCATGGAGCTTGGCTGCCATCACGTCTGACCTCGGGGGTGACTTGGGAGAGAGAGGACGCTGATTCCTTGGTCCACACCCCAGACCGGTTTCTCTGCTGCCAGGCCCCTCAGTGAGCGGGTCACCTGCAGGCCATGGGAAATACAGTGATCACAGGCCTGGGGGGGGACAAGAGGTAGGGGCAAGAGAGGAGGAGGCAAGCCAGACAGACTGGTGGGGGAGCACTGTGGACCCCATGCTCCGCCACAGAGGGCCTGTCACGAGATTGCAGGAGTGCGCTTGAGGCGGAGGCCCACTGAGCTGGAGCCCGTGTCCATGGCCACCACCCTAGAGAGACAGGAGCCGAACTGTTCCTGGGCCTGGCAAGGAGAGTCTGGAGAGGCCCGAGGCCATCCACAGTCTGGGCATTGGAAAGATTTGTCTTCCTCCAGATCTGGAAGAGGTCAGGGATGTGGGGTGAGATGGGGACAGGGTGAGAGCCTGGCTCTTCTCTGTGGCGCCAGGTGACAGCGACTCTTGCCCTTCCCCTCCCTGCAAGACAGAAGGATTTTCTTTTTTCTTTATGTCCCTGGTTCCTCAGCCACTCTCTCGACTGCTCCTGCTGGAGAGGCAGAGGTGAAAAGCCTTCTGTGTTCTTATGTTCCCATCAGGGATATTGTGGCTTCCTGCTGAACCAGAGTGGGACGCTCGGGCAGCCGTGTGGATGGCTGTGGTGTTGGTAACCGCCCCCACATGGTTTAATGGGTAGAGGTTAGGATGAGTCAAAGGGTCAGACCATAGGTCACAGCGGTCAGCATCTCCAGGCCAGTGGTGACAAGGGAGTGCGTCCCTGGGCCTAGAGCCAACCCTGAGAATCTTTCCTCCTCGATCGGGAAACCATCTTTATGGAGATCGAAATGGCATGTCTGGAGTTTGGCTTGGAACAGAACCTGTGCCATCTTGAACTGTCTCATGGCTGACCTCACCCCCCACCCACCGCACACATGCATGCCACCTGCCACTGCGGTGACCCGGTGGTGCAGACCAGTCCCCCATCAGAGCTCTTCTAGGGAGAGAGCTTGCGGGGGAAGCAGCAAGCTTCAGAGCCGCGCATAGGGCTGCTGGCCTCCCTCCTCCTGCAGCAGGGATGGGCCAGGCACACAGGGGACATCGCTGCCCAAGCTACAAAGGGCAGCGGGTGGCGGGGGGTGGCAGGCCCCACCGTTGGATCCCGTGAGACACAACTCCCCTAAGCTGCTGTCCTAGGGCTGCCGTCCCCCATTATCATCCTGCCAAGCTGGATATATGTCCAAAAGGCCATCAGTGTTGACAGAAAGAGGCCTCTACTGATGAAACAAGGAGGAACGTGTGTTTATGTAGGAAAGGAAGGCAGGTGGGGCTATCACTACCCCTTCCCCAGGAATCCATGGCCTGTCCTTTCCCAGGAGCCCCGGGTAACACAAACCCCATTTCTGCTCTCTCTTCCTGTAGGTGTAGGAATGAAGTTAACGGACGTTGGCATAGCAACACTGGCTAAAGGGTGAGTAGAAAACCCCAGTACATCTCATTCGGTTCTGAGCTTGCAAATCCCTGCCAGGCACACACGGTGGAACTGACGGGGCCAAGTCGATTTCTTGCCCTAACTGCGGATGACAAATGTTCCTGGGATGAATTCAATTCACTTCTCTCACCTACATAAAATACTTATGGGCTTTGTTCTCCCAGGGAAACACATTTGTTTTCTAACTTTGAAACAAACAAACAAACAAACAAACAAAGAACTCTAGGAAAACAAGGCAGGATGAATTGCTTCCAGGAGAGCGGGGTCGGGGTGGAGGGGGGGAGGTGGTGGTCAATGCCAACATGACTGGAATTTCTTTTAATCATGAACATTCCATCTTTCTGCCTTTGATAGCTTCACTATTAGAAAATTCTTAAATTTTTTCTTTGCATTTGAGCGCAGTGAATTCAATTTGCGTATTTTTAATGTGTTCCCCACCCCATCCCAAAAAGTCCTTCCGGAGGCTCCCACACTTCCCTGGAGGCGGTTTCAGGAGCAAATGGCAAGGGAAGAGCTGTGATGAGTTACTCTGGTGTTTGCGTGGCTTTGTTTCCCAGTTTAGTGTAGGCTACTGCTTGGTTCCCTGTGGGCTACGCCCAGACAGCACTGTAATATCTTACTGGCTTATCTCGTGTGCGCCTGTGCCTTCTGTCTGCTTTGCTGGACCACCATTGAGAAAGCCGGTGATTTGTGGTTCTTGGTGAACATGAAGTTCTGAGTTGGACCCATGTCCCAAGACAGTCTGTTACAAGGACGAAATAGAGGGACAGATGACTTTTAGAAGAGGTGGATGGCTTTTGCATTATTACTGTTCAGGTATGGGGAGGCCAGTCCTTTTCTGGATGGAAAAGGAGACAACAGCCACCGAGAAGGGTTTGTTGTTCACGGTCCCCAAGAGGGCTGGGCCATGGGGTCCACACGGGAAAGCACCAGGCTCAGTTGGGAGGAAGAGGGAGTGTGGGGAAAGCATGAGCAACGACTTTGATTTGGTTTCCAAGGGAAGGAATGGGTGAGGCAGGGAAAGCAAGCTTGGGATTGGCGGGTGAAAAATGTCAGCAGGCTCTGGGATGGGGGGGCTGTCCTTGTCCGGCCCTGGTGCCATGAAGAAAGCTGTGAGACCCCACGAGAGAGGTGGTGGGAACAGGGCTTGAGAAGGGCTAGTTTGCATAGGAAAGTTGTTCTCAAAGGCCAGTTATCTACTATCTCTAGGAACTGGCTAGCCCTGGGAAGGGCAGTCTCTCCATGGTGAACAAGACCCCAGATGTCAAAGCATCAGAAGCAGAGAAAACAGAATGGCCTAAATAGACCTTACTCTCTTACGGCTGCTAAGGACTTAACCGAAGAACTTTCTGGTTATTTCCGCCCATCGACATCAGTGGAGCTTCAAAGAGGAAACCCATCTTCAACCTTAGTGAAGGGCAGAGAACAGTGGAGGGATGGCGGGATAAAAGTGGAAGAGAGACTTTTTTAACCTCCAGATCATTGACTCTGACTCACTAAGTTCTCACTGATGACACAGAGCTTCTGACATGGGTTTAGAACTAAGATACAGTTTGGGTATTTTCCTTCCCAAGAGCGGCTCAGGAGAAGACAGTTTTGTGTGGGGATTCTCTCCATGCTCCCAGAGCCGACTACAGCCCTGAACCTCAGGCAAGTCTAGAAACTTGGTTGTAGCCTTGTGCATGTGAGGAGAGCGTGGAAGGAGGGGTACAGTATAGTCTGGAGAAGGAGGGTTTTAGAGAGAGTCTGGTTCAAATCGTGCTCGTGCCATTTACTTGTGACTCTCCCAGTGGCAATCTCGCTTCTTCTTGCGTTATGGGAGTCTGTCTGGCCCGTGGTGTGGGCGTCCAGGCATCCTGCGTGTGCATGGGACTGTGCTATCTCATGCCTGCCGTCCTCACACCCATCGAGTTAGACCTTTGTCCCGGACAATTTCCCCCACTTCGAGAAGAAAACATATGGTGCTGCTCTTTATGAAGGGATTTCTCTGGACCTCAGAAGCATTGCCCAAGTAAAGCAGATTCTGTGTTCTCTGGGGGACACGGCAAATTCAGTCCAGCACGCACAACTGGTTTGAATGCTGGTTCTTACCTTACTGGCTATGTGGTGATTTTTAAAAAAAATTTTCAAGATTTTATTTATTTATTTATTTATTTACTTGAGAAAGAGAGAGACGGTGAGAGCAAGCGTGTAAGCGGGGGGGGGGGGGGGTGGCGGAGGAGGGAAATGGGCAAGCCAACTTCACACTGAGCGTAGACCCCATCGTGGGGCTTGATCCCATAACCCGAGATCATGACCCCAGCAGAAACCAAGAGTTGGGAGCCTAACCGACTGAGCCACCCAGGCGTCCCTGGTCCTATGACTTTAAGTTCTAGAAGCCACTGCTCTACAGAATGGGGACACAGAGGGTTGTCACGAGGAGCCCCCCCCACTCCCGTTAATCCGCATCCAGGCCCAGGAGCTCAGTACAGTGTGATCAATATCGGTCTCCTCTCTCCCTCTGGCCTCAGCCTGATGCCAGGGTAGGCAAATTTCATACCATTCTTTAGAACAACTTTCCACCAAAAGAAAGCAGAAGGCTGCCCAAGTTTCAAAAACTAAAACAAGCTTAAGAGCATGATTATTTAAGACATCTTTTAAAAGCATCTTAACAGTTTCCGGGAACTCGTACATTTTCGTCCTCATTTAAAAAGAAATCTAATCCCTTGGTCTTGTTCTCAGCTTTAATGTGACTTATCTGGTTTGGGACAAGTGCCCAAGACCCATTAGAAGAGCTGATGGTTGGAGCCCAGGGCAAAATGTTGTCTCTAAAATGTTACTTATGGCCTTTCCTCCCCAGGAGTGGTCAGGGAGGAGACAGGAGAGAAGGGAGTTCTGAAGCATCTGAGAGCTTTGGAAAGGATATGAGATCATCTTGTCCATTGTTTTTTATAAACTTTTCCTTAAACTTTCCCTAAGTCCCAAGCTTTTTTACCCCAAAGAAATGTTTCTTAGAAGCCCAGTTTAAAAAACTGATAAAAGGGGGACCCTCGATTGGAGATCTCTTCGGAGGTCCCTGGGAACCTCTCTGCTCTGGACTGAGAACCAACAATTGGGACCAGCCTTCTTACTTCCCAACTGAGGAGCAGGAGGTGCAGGGAAAGGCAGGCTGCTGGCAGGCACCCCGAGGAAAAGGGTCAGATCCTCAATATCGGAGCTGAGATTTGACTGAAGAGACTCTCCAGGGAAAGCCAGAGCTGCAGCATGGAGCGCAAAGGGCAGAACCCGTAAGATTCTCATTCAAAGGCAGCTCCAAGACAGGCTAAGGAGACTCCAGGGGGAAGGATCGCAAGCCCAGGAAGAAGCTGGGGGGCATTGCAGATGCCAGACGGCCTCCGGAGAGCAGGAGAGAGGAGTGACGGCTGAGTGTCCATTATGCACTTTCTCTTGATCCTTAGTAAACATGCTGGGGGGCTGAGTTTATCCCTGCTGGAAAAGGAGGCACCTGGGGAATGGGCGCCATCCCAAGAAGCAGTGTTCCTGTAGGCAACATTATACACGGTCTTTTAAGTACATTAGAAAGATACAAAGCATGGATGGGAGAAGCATGGGGAGGCGAGTCTAACTTACTTTACTAATAATTAATACAATCATAATAATAAACAGGGACATCTGGCTGTCCAGTCCGAAGAGCATGTGACTTTTGATCTTGGGGTCGTGAGTTTGGGCCCCAGGTTGGGTCTAGAGATTACTGAAAAAAAAAAAAAAAAAAAAAAACTTGGGAAAAAACATTTTTACATAATAAACGATACACTTGTGGTTTTTTTAAAAGAACAAGAAAGAGGTCTCCCAAGTTTAGGGCCCACCCTTTTCTGGCCAGCAGTAGTTAGGATCTTTGGCACGAACAGAAGCCATTGTGTCATTTAAAGAAAATAGTCCCTTCTGTCTCAATCTGCCTCTGTATGTGGGTGCTGACCTCCCAGGAAGTGCAACCTGTCTTGTCCTCTTGTTGAGTAAAGGCAGGGGGAATGCGACAATTTTGAAGGCAGTCATTTGCTATCTCATAAAATAGAATAGCAACAGTCATGACTTATTTGTTTGAGGTCGCATTACCTGCTAAAATGATCGTTAAGGCAGAAGTATGTCCTGTCTCTCCTGGGAGCCAGCCAGAGGAAGCTTCTGGAAACCCATCACCTGTACCTCAGTACCCATGTCTTCCAGCAGTGGTGAGCGCAAAAACTTCAGAGCACAAAGCGTGGCCAACAGCATTGTCACCACATCTAATAACCCATGTTCTCTGCAGACCCAAGATACTGACTGGACAGTTGAGTATTTTCCCCATTTGAAACTGCTTGGCGGTGGAGAGTTCTTGGAAGGGGAAAAGGGAAAACGCCTAATTCTGTAACTAGAGATCGAGACATTTAACCTCACCAAATCAAAACCTGTGTAAACCACGGGCAGGGGAGCAGACCCAGAGGTGTCCCAGTAGGTCCTGCAAACACGCACCCCTCCCCCGCCGAGCGGGGGAATTTCTGGGGCGATGACATGATGGCGATTTGCCACCAGAGGGCACCAGAGCCAATGTTTTCCCTTTATAGTCTCCAAAAAAAAAAAAAAAAAAAAAAAAAAAAAGCTGAGTTTATGTCGCGGAATTAAAGAAAAACAAAGAAGAGTGCGCTGAGCAGATTTCTTTCCAGTCAGTATGGCACTGGTCCACTTAGGTCTGATAGGAAGGACCCCAAAGGACAGTCCTCAGCTTGACCAGCATCCAGTATCTCAGATTTCTACACTTGAAAGAAAGAAACCATGAGACGCATGGCAATGTCTAGTGTCCCTTCCACAGAAACCAAATTCAATGCACCCCAGACAGAATGACAAATGGCTTGCTCCCCGCAGGAGAGCAGACAAGAGGTGATGGGGAGCCCCATGTCAAGGCAGGAGCCTGATAAGGACAATGGTCCCGAGAAAGCGGACTCTACTGGTGTCGGTATGTCCAGCTC